CCAGGTGGATCCAACGCAATAATGGTTACGATAGTCGCGGTGTATTTGCTCTAGGATACGAAAACAAACAATCTTGCCGCAGCTACAAAACCCTGATGTTCTGGAGAGAAAGAACAGATGCATTTGAGATCTATGAGTTGAGCTCTAATTCATGGAGAGTTGTTTATGCTCCCAACCGCATCAGCATAAGACGTCAAGGCGTGACTTTGAAGGGAAATGCTTACTGGATTTCTCGCGAGTATAACGAATACAGTGACAAGTACTTGCTTTCTTTTGATTTTACAAGAGAGGAATTTAGACATTTGTGTCTTCCCCCACCATACAGGAACCGTGACTATAAGGGTCTATCAGTTGTTGGAGAAGAACAACTCTTATTGTTTAGGTATATGGAAACTGGTCGAGAAGAGGTGGAGATGTGGGTGACCAAGAACATTGACTATACTAAAGAGTTGTCATGGAGCAAATCATTTTCCGTGGGTAGAAACACTATCTACCGTAAAGCTTTTTCTGTTTTCACGAGTCTTTTGATCGACGAGGAGAAGAAAGTGGTCTTGTGTTGTAATTCATGGTGTTGGTTCAGCAGGAACAAGAACCAAGTGGTATACACTATTGGAGAGGACGATAAATATTACTCAGAAGTCCCTTGTAGACAAAAACCATTGGTGCATATCGGAGCTGGGTGGTGGTGGCCATTAATTTTCAATTATGTTCCAAGTTTGGTTCATATCCAATAAAAAAACAAAAACAAGTAAGTGATTTTCTTGCAGCTCTTCTTAGTTTTTGTTTTTCAAGACAATGTAGTCTGATTTTTTTTAAAGAATGTTTTGTTGGTACATCAGTCACCTCTTACTTTATAGTTCTTTTCTTATTTGCGTTGTAGAGTTTTTGGTTTCATGAGATTGTGTGTTGTGTATCCGATTGCGATACCCAAGAGATTCAAATATTGAATTAGCCACAGATCTTGAACTTGAACCAACCTAGTGCATCTCCAACTGTTTCCCTCGTTTTTTCCTTCAACATTAGAGAACAGTGAAATAAGAGTGTTTTACTCCAATGATTCCCCTCATATTTTCCGTTAAAATGGAATATTCCAAGTATATTTATTATTTTATTATTTATTAAATAAAAGATTTTTTAACTTTTAGAAGTTAGACAAATTCTTCTATATACTTAATTTATTATGCTTTGAAAGAACTTAAAGAAGAAAATAAAATTTTCTTTCAGAATTTGAATTCCATATAAGATCTAAAAATTTGTGCATATGTTGAAGCAGAACAAATACGAATTTTACAAAAAAGAACTGAACAACAACAAGATCAAGAAAGTTCTCATGCATCTATTTCACTTCAACCATCAACCATGTTTTGATGATCTTGGTAAATCCGGAAAAAGACTGCCATTTTATTAAAAATGATTATATGTTGTATTATTTAAAATCAAATACAAGCTGTTTATATGTTATGTTACATTTGTTTTTGTGTGTTTTTTTTAGTTTTTGTTATCTGTATCTCTATGTATTTTTTATTGATGTTATTGTATTTTTTTAGTTATGATATTATTGTATTTTTAATCTAAAAAAATATCTAATTATTTTTTATTTATAAAGTTATATTATTATAAAATAAAAACGTAAAAAATTTATTCAAATGTTAAATATAAATATTTAACTTTGTTTTAAATATAAAAAAGTACTATATAAAAGTTTATGTACCAACTTGTAAATAAATAAAGTTGAACAGTAAAAACGAGGAAGTGAATAACGTTTCCTCAAATTTGAGGAGATGCTGTTCATTCCCTCATTTTTTCCCTCAAAATGAGGTATTATTGGAGAAGATTTTCTCTCATTTTTTGATACTTTCTCTCAAAATAAGAGACCCTTGAAGATGTTCTAAAAAAACAGAGCATCTCAACACTCGAAACAAAAACAGAACTTAATACAGAGCATTGTAATCATTATTATTACAAAATAGTTGTTGTTAGAGATGATACTAAAGTATCTAAAATAAACAATATTAATATTTTAATAAAAGTTAATAATTAGTTAGATTCTAATAATTTTTAATTTTTGTAAACCATTATTAATAGAGAAATTGTACTAGCTGGATCCAATTAATAGCAAAATTAGGTAGCCGTCGATCTGCCTATTTATTACTGAAAGACCTTTCTACCCCTCCGTAACCTGTTACTTCTTCATTTTTTTTTTCCCTTTTCTTCTTCATTTTCTCTTTCTTTTTTACTTCTTCATCCATCATTCACACAATGGCTAACATAAACAATGATAATAGATTAATCGATGGTGATGGTGAACGCACCGGTGGTAGTAGAGGTGATGGCGATGTCGGTGGTGATGCTGATGGTAGTGATGACGATGGTGGTGGTAGTGGTGATGTCGGTGACTGTGGTGGTTATGATGGTAGTGGTGTTGGTGATGGTGGACCGGTAGTGGTGGAAGTGATAGCGATGCCGGTGGTGCTGGTGGTGGTCATGTCAGTGGTGGTGATGGTGGTGGTAGTGTCGGTAGTAGTGGTGGGTATAAGTGGTGGTTGTGGTGGTGATGGTGGTGATGGTAGCGATGGGCTAAACGATGGTGATAGTTATCATGCTAACGTTGTTAATATGATAATTTTTTTGATATGATAACATTGTTAACATGATAATTTTACATAAGTTATACAGTTAATAAAGTTAACTCCTATTTTTCATGAAATGATAGTAACATTAGCATGATAGTTATCATGGTCAAAAAAGTAACATAATAATTTTTTGAATATAATAACATGGTTAACATGATAATTTCATTTTTTTATGATACGATAACTAGTTAACTCGATATTTATATAATGTGCTAATGGAGCATTATATTAGTTAGCATAGTTAACACAGTTAACACAATATCATATTAGTTAGCATGGTAATCAAATTGTTATCCATCCAAACCGCATCAAATAAATTTAGAGGCAAAATAGTCATAATTTATATATATAATATATATTAATCTAATTTTTGATTATTAGTTCCACTTTTCTAAATGTCAAATTATTTTGGATCATTTACTACATTTTTCTTTATTAATATATCAACAATTATAAACAAGTATGTAAAGATTGTTTCTTTTAGAAACCATTTCCTTTTTCTTACTTTCTTTATTTATTTTTTTTATAAAAAAAAATAGATACTCAATGAAATGGATTGAACGAAAAAAATGAAAGAAAGTTATTTTTTTTCTTTTGTTACTTATTTTTTTTGAAAGTTGTGGAGGGACGACATAGCGCGTGGCCATGGTGGTGGTGATTATGGTAGTAAAAAACAGAAGTTCAGATTAAACATCTTTTAAGAATATATTTTTTAAATTTAAAACTAATTTCTGATAAGAATTTCAAAAATATAAGTAAAAAGAGAGAGAACTGTAGTAAATAGTTACTCCTTTTATTGAGCCTTAAGAGAAGTAAGACAAATATTACAAAGCTATGAACAAAAAGAAAGAAGATCGCAAAATAGTACTAAGGGAGATTGGTGATGATGATAGGAGTTGCTGCTGCATTTTGATCTGTGTTTGGTCACCACAATCACAAGCTTGGACACATTTAAATTTAACATTGAAAAAAATGGATTATAGTTGCCATTTGCCAAAAAAGACATTCCTAAACACCAAGAGGCAAGTATAGTCACTTCCACCAAGAAATTGAGCATACTTGGCTTCGGTCAAACGCATCATATATACGAATGGCTTGTCTTTGTCACCCACGACCAAATCTCAAAGGAAGCAGCTAATCTAGTTATGTTTCTTAAGGCATATAATCAAAAGAAAAAATGCGGATTAAAAACTTTTTACGAGCAAAGTAACAAAAAGATGTAAGATGAAGTGTGTTGCTAACTTGTCCAGGGAATGCTTCTGACAAGAACTTGATGGTAGAATTCAACATTTTCAACTTTTTCCTCTTCGATTCGATTTCTGGCAACAATTCACCATTATGCGACTGTTAGGCATCAGTCTGCTAGCTAGGCCTAGATCCAGCCACATAGGGACCTAAAGGATATTGAAATCAAAATACTAAAGCGCGACTAATAATACTAACCAACCATAAGTGTTTTATAGTACCTGTTGCAGCTGATCCAAGACTTTTCCATCAGCGAACAAGTCAACAGTGATCCTTAAACCAACAATTCAAGAATTCAAGAACTCAGGGCAAGAACCTGAATAAGCAACACTGCTCGGTCTTAAGCGCAGAAAAAGCCAAAAAATGGTAAAATTTATACATTTGACATATGAAGTCTTGAACTTAATTATCTAATTGTTCCTTGTGTGCTGAGTTTGACAGACAAAACTTTTGACTTTTGAGTTAAAAAGATTCTGAATTGAGCTGTTACTATATTAGATCTTCTCTAAGCTAAATTCGTACACTTTTTAACTGAATTTTTTCAGTTACTTCTTTTTGTCAGACAAATATTTTGGACCCCAAAAAAGCTAAAGATGCTGTTTTGATCTGTCGTCACTATCAATTACTAGTTTGTAAGTCCTAACTAGTAACTCCTAACAATATTCTATTTTTGATTCGAAATCAAGAAAGCGTTTTAAAATTTTTGAAACTTATGGAGACATCAGGAAGCCGGAATAATGTTGTCCCGGACGAAGCTGACCAGATACCCGTCATTGCAGCGATCTCACGCGCCGCTCTGTGACTTTGATTGATTGATTGATTCTCTCACGCGCCGGTATTAGCCGATCTTCCTTCCGGTTCGAACCGGGTTACGAATCTAGGATGGGGGACCTTTGATTCCTGGTTTAGCAGTGCGAATAATTTTATTTTCTGGTGTGGACGGGATTCTCGTATACGGTATAACGAATAAAAAATATATAGATTAACTTATTGTTTTTTTCCCAATTAAGTGATTTATTTTTGATGTAAAGTATTATTACAATTTTTCTAGAATAATTGCTTGTTAACATATCACGGTATATGCCTGAATTTTTCCTCTATTTTTAAATTTCACTTTAGGAAATAATATGGAAGGGGATGCAAGCAAACCAAATTTTTATTTATTGCTTTTTTCACTTTTTTTGAAAGAGGAATTACCAAGACGCATCTTTGCCTTTCATTTTTGTACACGAGAAGAGTAGGACAAAACAAAAACAAAAACAAAAAGAATTTCGGAACATGTAAAAGGAAAAAAAAAATATATATATATATAATATAGATAAACAAAAATGAAAAAAAAAAAGATAAAATTAAGATAAAAAAAAAAAAAAACAGAGGAAGTCCCCGACCATTAACTCGCTTTCGCACGTGCGTCAGTTGCGATCCACACTTGCCTACTCTGAGTCGGAATCCAAGTTTTCCATGCCTTTCAATCCTCTTCGTTTCTGCTGCTACACACATGAAAATCAACAATAAACACAATTATTCACTAATCTAATCTCCACTAAACCAGAATATTCGATCTACAAAAAACGAAAACCAAAAGTGAATTCTTAATTATTTTATGTTATTACTTGTAAACTAATCTTTCATGATTCTCACAGAGAAGTTCCCATGTCTAGTCTAGTTTCTAAATTTCTCTTGATCATAAACGTTATTATAAAGGCCACCAAATTTTCTATATACCAGAATCCATATGAATGCAATTAATAACAGAAGACCTTAGATCTATCTTCTTCTGATCTTAAATGCTTCTAATCTTATTAGGGAATTTGACAAAACTTGCAAACCCAGAGTTTAGTAAAGTTATTGTTACCTTCTTCACACTTTTCTTCTCTCTAACTTCATACCGACTTTTGTTCAGATCAGACATATACATACCTGGAAAACAAAACTGCCAATAAACAAAACCACCACAGTTTAAAAACCATTCTGTTGCTTTTCACAAGATCAAACCAAAGAAATGAAGTTGAAAAATAACCTGAAGGCCTTTATCGATGTTCTTGGCTCGTTTTCTTGGTCGATGAGGGAGTTTTGTTCCCTTCATAGCCAAGAAATCTTCTTCTTTCTCTTTTCTAGACAAAGCAATGTAGATTCTTGGCCACTCTTTTACTTCCACTTGTGTTGTTGTCTTCTCCCCATTATTCATCTCAATCTCTGTGTGAATCTGAGCCGTTGATTCTGATCTATTCATCCTTTGATGATGACTTTGATCTAACCCGTTCTGTCTCTGATTATGATGATGATCCTTGCCGTTTGATCTCGTCTCAGTCTTGTCTGGAGAAGGAGGAGATCGCTTAGAACCAACGTTGGCCGATCTAGACGCCATACGACCACCACTAACACCGGTGGCTGTCGATCTTCTAGATGCCTAAGCATGATCAAGATTCAAAGTTAGGATTTTTTGTTTGTTTTAGATGAAAACTTGACTACACACATCTTACAAAGTTAAAACCCACAAAGTAAAATAGTTTCAGTCTTATAAATAAAGATTTTTTATTTTAACTTTGTTACCAAAAAAGTGATGAAATTTAAGAAAGAAAACAAATACCCATCAATAAAGAGTCTCTCTGAAATCAGAATTAAAAAAAAAAAAAAAAAAAAAACCCAGAGAGATGTAATCATAAAAAAAAGAATTCAATTTACCAACTCAAGTTAAGGATCAATCAACTTTTTTTTTGTCAAAAAGTGAAGAATTTAAGAAAATTAATACCCATTGAAGCTTTATCAGATTTAAAAAGAAACCCGCAGACCAAACTAAAATCCGCAGAGATGTAATTTCTATTTGCCCAAATAATCTTAAAGGATCTATCAAAATTGTCATTTCGAAGAAAGAAGGCAAAAAAATTATTTTGAAGACTGGGTCAGAGAAAGGCAAAATAGAAATTCGAGAGTTCTTAAAATAAAAGAGATGATGATTCAGAAATATTTTATATTAATTACCATGTAAACCAATAAAAATGCTACCCACAACGCGAAACAAAACAAACGAACAAAAACAGAGATTTTGGGGAAAACCAAATACATATAAACTCTGCTTCTTGTTTTTCAAGGGTATTGTCGTAAATTCACAAAAGGAGTTTTATTGATCAAACTAACTTTAGTAAAAAGCTATGAACATATATAATTGATGATGACATGAAACCAAAATACTTGGATCTCATCAAATTAACAAACGAGAAAGTAAATTAACAAAATCAATCCAAATAGTAAAAGAAAATAGTAATAATTGCTCCAAATAATAATAAATATATATACGTCGTCAAAAAATTAAAATAATAAAAATACAGGCATTGAAAACATATTTAGAAAAATAAACTTTGAAACAGAAACAAATCCAAATGAATTTTTAAAAACTTAAAGCTCTGTAAAAACGAAAATCCAGATCGAATCTCAAAATGGAGAAAAAAACGAAAAGGAGAAAGAAATTGGGCTAAAAACCTGGTAGGGACGAATCTAGATGATTCCTTGCCGATGACGAAACCGTTTCTCGGATTCGTACTCCGTCCTCCTCCGCCGCAGAGAGGCGACGATGACAGTGACGGCGGCGGCATAGACGGGTTCCTCGATCTTCTCTGAATCTTATTCGGCGGAATCAAACTTTGTCCGGAGGAAGAAGACGAATCATCTGCAGCGACGGTAACGGATCGGATCTCGGTTCTGGAGGCACGTGATCGTTTCCGTTGCCCCCACTGTAACAATCCATCTCCTCCGCCTCTGCTGTTACGGCTAGGGTTTGGAGTGGAATCGTGAGAGGGATCGTCTTCTTGTTGTTGTGTAGTGGTGGTGATAGAAGTGGATCTGAATCGGATTCCTTTGGGGACTCCGTCGAGATTTGAGCTGCTGATGCTGGTGCTCGTTCCGATGAATCTTCCCACTCCGGTTGAAATCGCGGCGGTTGCGGCTGTTCTTCCGTTATCGTTGGATCTGGAAGGTGAAGGTCTTAAGTAGGGCTTTTTGGTATTCGTAAGAGGAAGATAATCTGGGCTTACTCTCTGATACCTGTCAAAATTGGTTTAAATCAAACAATCAGATCAATAAGAAAACAAAAGCTTAGATCGATTCAATAGAGAAAACTGGAGAAATGCTTCTGCGTTTTATGTAGGATTTTCGAAAGTTAAAAAGTTTATTCTTCTTCTTCTTCATGAGTCTGTGATTTAGATCTTTCGAAAGTGAATTTTTCTTTTTAGATGATAAAATTTGATCTTACGATTGATCAAAAGAAACCAAAACTAGTTGCAATCCGAAGGAGAATATCAAAATTTTCATTTCATTTCCGGTCAAAAAACCATGAATCTGGAGTTTTCAAATGAAACCCAGATCACATAAAACCCCATAAGAAGGTGAAAAACTCTTTGAAACAGAAAAACAACAAAATCGATTGAAAAAAAAATAAGGAGAAGAGAAGTCGGAAAGAACAAATAGAGCAAACGATTAGAAAACACTGAAAGGATAATCGAAGAAGAAAGAGAGGGACCTCATCATTATTATATATACCCAAGAGAAAGAAAAATCCGATTCGAATTTCAGTGATGATAAGTTTTCTGAATCCGATCTGCGATTAGTTTTCAGATTCGTTCAGTTCTTATCCTCCATTGATTTTTTCCTCCGATAGAACGCGGAAGATTAAGAAACCTCCTCCGTCTTCTTCTTCTCGTAACAATCACCAGAGGGGAGAATAAAACAGAAAGAGAAACCAAAAAAAGTCTATGATGAATAATCTGTGTATAGAGAGAGAGGGAGAGAGAAATGAAGGAGAAATGGAGGCTCTCTGTGTTTTACAGTGAGGAGGAAGAAGAAGGGGAACGGAAGGAGAAATAGTGGGTGCGTTATTGTGGCGATTTCTTTTTATTTTATTTTATTGTCAATTAAATTTTGTATATTGCTTCTTTTGTCCTTGAAGTTTTTATAGGATTCGGTTTATGACGCAACGTTGTTCAATTTTACATATTAGTCAAAAGACTGTTTTCGAATTGGACCCAACAAGGCCCACTGAGCCCAGTTGCAAATTAATTTCATGGCCGATAATCAGCTATTTGTTGAGTAAATAAATGATTTCGGACCCAATAATGCGGTAATTCTTTTCGGCCCTAAAAACATTAAAAGGTAGTTTAAAATAATGGGATCTATTACTAAACCACAACCATCTCATGAAAAATACAAAATTTTATTAATAAAATAATTGATTTATTTATTCACATAACTTTAATAAACACTAGGTGATCGGCCTGCACCGTGTGCAGACTATGAAATATTTTATATGTTCAATTATAATTAAGATATAGTATTGAAGATGTTTTATTTATATATGATTAATTATATATTAATAATAAAATAATAAACATTTGATAATAAAAATAACGATAAATTAAATATAAAATATTATATACTTCAATAAAAAATGAAAATAAAAAATATTAACTAAAATTTTACAATATTTATTTGGATAAAAATGTAAATATGATAACTAAATAAACGGGAAAATATTCAAATATATAATATTTTATTTAAATTTTATTTTTGGTCCGCACACATGTGCAAGTATAACTTTTTTATAGATATAATTAGTTATAATATTTAAGTATTGATTAATTTTCTTATACATTATGTAAATGTTATGTTTTATACACATACAATTTTAGTGTACAACAACAATCACACAAATATTTTATATCGTTTTGTGTCGTTTGAAAAGTTTTTATTTTTCCTAGCAATTACAGTAACATATAACTGCAAATGTAAAAGTTATATTAAATAATAATTAAATTCATATAATATGTTTTAAATATTGTCTATATAATACTTTCTTTTTCTCTTTACATAATATAATCTGGCCAATATATATTTTCAGTATACATTTTTTTTTGACCTATTACTAAGTAAACCAAAATGAATTCTACCATATTTATTTATCCTAAGAGCAGATAGATGGTTGGTCAACCACCTCACCGCTCTTAGGATGTATAAATTTTCTAACAACTAAAATTAAAATTAGAGTGTAATTGAGGTAAACAAAATGTATGCACGAAAAGTTTGCATTCGAGTTTGACTTTTGCACATTCAAACCAATCAGATCTAAACTTATATGTGTATGATTTAAGGTGTAAAATAATATATTTAATATTTGATTGTTATTAAAAATTAAGAGTTGATCTGCTCCTAAGTGTTATATATTTGTTAATATAAAATATAATGGATCATAACATATACAAATTTTGATTCATGAAATAATGTTTTAATATGTTAAAAAAATATTCATTAAAGAATTAATATGTGTACGATAATATTTTTAAATATTTCAAATAAAAACTTAAAATCGATTAAATTATTTTTTTATTTATTATTTTGTTTTCTTTAACTCATAATTTTTTAACATTTAATAATATATTAAATATTAAGATCATCTCCAATGTATTTTTTATATTTTTCTCCTTTAAAATATAAGTGAACTTCTCTCCAACCTATTTCTATTTTTACAGGAAGGAAAAAAATTATTTTTTTTTCTATGATTGGAGGATAAAAATAACAATCTTTCTTTTTCCTCTAAATTAAAATAAAGGTGGTTTGAAGATGTTTTAAACCAAAATTATAGTCTGGAATTTTTACATAAAACCAAAGTCGTAAAGATTAATTTTTTTTATTTTAAATCTACTTTTTATTCATATATATAGTATTATAATAATAAAAATTAGCTAACTGGATAGTTATAATTTATTTATTTATCTGTTTATTTTTTGTTTCATTTATAATTTTGAATTCTTTCTATATAATAAGAATTTATTCATATATGATATAAACGTTTCTAATAAAAAAAAAAGATCTATTTAGTTTTAACTTAACCTATCAAAATATTTTGTTTAGTTTAGGAAATTTGTCATGTCACATTTATGAAGTAACATTGTTTTGCACTAACTTTTGCTAAGGTGATGATACATCAGATTTTTCTTATTAAACATACTACTCAAATAATAGTTAAGATTACAAAAGACAAAATAAAATAGATATTTTCTTACTGTCTCAAACAAAACGAACGGTATAAAGCTTTGTATCGTCGATTATTTTTTCTACCATCAAATTTTTTGATTTGTGACCACACTCTCTCTTATTTACGGAACTGATTTGATATTCGGCCCACTCCTTGGCCCATCAAAAGCGTCCAAATTTTTTTCCAAATTATTGTTTGAGTGCAAAAATGGATTCTTTAAGAAAAGCCCTACCATCCAAAGGTACACTTCTGACTTGTATCAAAAGAAAACTTGATCACAAGATTTCAGAGAATCTATATAAGCAGCTGGCTCCAACAAAGAGTATTATTGAAACATTTGCTTCAACAATACTATTCGGTTTTACATGTTTCAGCAATTACTATCACAAAACACCATTTCCATATTCATCTTCTTATTTCCTGTGATACTTATAAATGTATTGAGATGAACAGAGCTTGATGTACATTAAAAAGCGATTAATACTGTGTTCATATAAATGTATTGAGATGAACCAATTTTATTAAAATACCTTATAAATGTATTGAGATGAACCAATTTTATTTACCACGGCATTTGATTAAAATAAATAAAATTAGTTTATATAGAGTAATGTGTTCGTTCTGATTCTTCTGATTCCATTTCCTTTCTTGCTTGCACGTATGAGAATTGTATTTCTTATATAACGACTTAACATATATAAGTAACGCTATATCGCTACTAGTTAACGAATTTGTAATCTAAAAATGTCATGTTTGTTGCCGCTTCTCGAAATTATAGTAGAGAACTTAGAATATCAGTATTGAAGATCGCATGATAGAAAGCTCTTAACATTTTTATCTGATCAGTATTTATCCGATTCAATCTAAATTCTTTTTTACAAATCACGTCTTGCAATGTTATAAAGAACCGATTCTACTTTTTAATCTCGCTACGTTCTTTTTTTTTTCTTTTTTCTTTAGAACCGTATTAAAACTGTCTATTACAAATGTTCTTAAAATTATATAATATAGTATTATATGTGTAATATCTATATCAAGCTTTACTATTAAATAATATTTAATAGTTAATTCAATCCAGAGATATGGCTGTTAAGAAAACACAAATTATTTATTAAATTTACAATTTGTATTAAATAATTTTGTAATATGGTTTAAATTCGATCTATTGTATAGACACTAATATTTTGGTTAGTATGAGTCATTGGACTAAAAACTCGATTCCATTACACAGATTCAGAGTTAATCACATCATGTACATTCAAATTTACAAAAAAAAATCATAAGAAGGAACACTAAAAGAAACTCAAGAATGTAAAATAGTGTTGGAGTTGTTTTTGCTAGGAACAGGGCTGAAGTTTTAAATCGACTATATACTAAAACTTTTTTATAAATTAATAATATTGAATATTAATTTATAGATATATCATCTGGTTGGTAAATTAATATTAAAACTAAAACATTATCGAATATTAATTTATTAAAGTTATACTGAACCTTTAATTACTATTAGAAAAGTAAGAAATGGATTATAAATTAAATAGTTCAAGCAAGAAATAATGTATAGAAAATTCACATGGATATTAAAAAAATAAACAAACAAAACAAATTATCCACGCCAAGACAAACAATATATATTTTAAAAAAATATACCATGAAGAGAATTCAAGCCTTTTGTGGTGCTGCCGCCGGAGTTTCGGGAGCCTTGGCCGGAGTTTCTGCGGCCTTGGTCAAAGGAATTTCAGCCATCGGCGCTGCGGCAACAACTTCTTTTTTCACCTCCTCCACAGGCTTCTTCTCTTCCACCTCCACCTTCTTCTCCTCTTCCACGGCTGGCTTCTTCTCCTCCACTGCCGCCTTCTTCTCCTCTTCCACGGTTGGCTTCTTCTCCTCCGCAGCCACCGGGACAGAAACCGGTGCCGGTTTAACCTCTTCTTTCTTCTCTTCAACTATTTCAATCTCTTTCTCACCGCTTGTAATTTCCTCCGGTTTGGTTTCTCCTTCTTTGGCGGGTTCTTCGGTTTTCACGACTTCCTCCACAACCTCCACCTCTCGTGACTTCTCCTCCACCGGGAGAAACACACATACTTTCTCAAATATGAACATTACTGGTCCAGAGCTAGTAGATAAAATTTCACATGCAGCCTTTGATCCAGGGAATCCTGAATTAACAAAACATATAAAAAAATCATTAACTCACTCACCTCCAATATTAAATAATTATTAAATTTGGTATAATACAATGTAGTAAATCTAATTTTTTTCATTGCTAAATGTACGTACCAATTTCGACAAGTGCCTCGAGGAATTTTTGCACTTCGGCAGAGTGTTTCTTTAAATCATCCTCCTTAGGCTCCCTCACCAAAGCCTACATATATCGAAATTAAATCGAGGATAAATCACTAGTGCTTGATTTGGGATTTTTATAAGAGTAATAATCAAAATGAAAATTATTAAATAAGCACCTTGAGTTCAGCAGACGTGGCTTCATAGATTTCAACGACCTTTGGTTGGAGTTCTGTCTTTTTCTCCTCAATCTCCTTGATGATTGTTTCCTATATTAACACACGAGAAAACTACATTGAGAATCAAAATAACAGCGTAAATTTATTATGTAATTGTAAATTATATATAGATCTAATTACCTTAGAATCATCAAAGGTCTTGGTAGCCTCAACACCAAGAGCCTTCTTTGTTGGGCTCCTCTCGAACAATCTCTTCATTGTTGGAACAACCCTCGATTTCCAGTAACCCATATCTTTCTTTCTTTTTATTTGTTTAGTAATAATCCTACAACCCCCAAAAAGTGATTAGAAATTAAGTTTAATTTCTATTACATATAGCTTGCATGAACATGAACGAGACAAGATCATATGATCGTTATTCATATACTGATATACAAAACCTTTGTAATTTATACATTTACACGCATATACATCTACCTATAGAGAATGTAGGTTAATACCAATATATATTAACCTTGGTTTTAACTCATTTAAACGGTTAATAATATCTAGCTTCCTAGTTCTGTAGATTCTCCAGAAAAATATCAAACAAACGTAACAACGAGTAGATTGAAGCTTTGTCAAAAAAAAAAAAAAAAAAAAACGAGTAGATTGAAAAAGATAAACGCATCTTTTCACGTCTATATGATCGAAAACGAACATTTTCATATGTAAGAAAATGTACATTAATTTGTATAAAGCTATGTTCTTGAAGAAACTTACTCGAGATGATGATTTCTTGAGGCTCTTGTTCGTTGTTCTTGTTATTTTCTCTCTGAATTTTTAAGAAGCCCCCATCGTATTATAGAAGAGATTATCTTATTATAATCACCCTTTGTTTCTCATCTAAATTACGTAACTGCCCTTTTCCATCGTTGTCTATCTAATTTCCGTTGGCGCCAGAACTGATTCTGTTGGCTGGTGGTCAAATTCGGTTCACAAGAGTAAACCGAAATTGGTTACATAAAATCCAAATCGATTCATATTTTGTTTTGGTTTTAAATAATTTCCCCACCATATTCTAAGCTTTAACATATATTTTAACAGGAGTTTCGTAATATTTTCATTTTAAATTTCCGATTTTTCTTCCAAAACCGGTTTGGGTCATAGAGAAGACAGTTGATTAGTTAAAAAATTTAAATGATAAGAAGGGTAAATAAGTAATTGTAATAGTTAATTACCAGCTGGCACTGATATTGCAAATTTGCAATTACAGTTGGCAAATTTAGAAAATGGAACCTGCCATGGTGATCTGTAAGGTACAGCATATACTCCTCTTATCTCATATTTTATAAGCTATATTAGTTTGCTTTAATTATAACTGGTTTTTCTAATTTTATTCTTAGCTTTTTCTGGTCAACTTTATGGTTGTTATATGAACTTCGTGTCACTTTTTGGTAGCACTAAATTTCGCATATTTATTTAATTTATAGTATTATAAATATATTACATTTAAAAAATAAAAAGAGAAATGGAAATGGAATTATCACCCATGCTTTGCTGTTTGAAAGAAATTAGACAGAGGTAGATTACTTTATTTAGCTTAATTAATTGTTTCTTGAAGACAGACATCCCACCTTCAATATCTAAGGACAAAATGAAATCTCCATCACAAGTTCACAACATGGTTTGCACACCTATATATACAAAGGAAAACTAATTATAGTTCTATTAAATAAGAAAATTAAGGAGAATACATCTATTTTTGAAATTGACATTTTACAAATGAAAGTGTTTATCAAGTCAGGTGATTCAAAGAAGCATGTTAAATTTTAAAAACAAAATTCATATGTAACTAAAAAAACATATATTTTGATAAAAGTGGGTTAATAAAAGATGAACTATTGTGTCCTACAGTTTTATAACTATGATCATAATCTAAGGTTTACTAAATTACAGTAATTAAGTGTGTTTTATGGAACTGGAAATAGATTGATTTAGCTTTATCCCATAACAACAAGTTCTTTTTGTAATAATAATTAGTTTATTTGATATATTAATATAAATATATATATATATAGGTTTCTCTTACAAGTCTTTTACTAATTAACTAGCGCACGATTCTTTTACCAAAGGGTTTTGATAAATGTGGTCATGATGACAATGTAGATGCACATGGGGTTTCTTTCATATTTCGTTTGTCTTCGATGAACAAAACAATGGACAACAATACAATATATTTGTTTCAATATACAAGATATAGTTAAAATTATATGATATATCAGATATCTTTGTGATATCGATTACTCACGAACCTTCTAGCCTTCTAGAGATTATAGAACTTCTCAAGACTCAACAGAATGAAGCAGACGAGTTTGTTACAGCTCAACAACACGATCGGTTCTGTGCCCTTCTTATTACAGCATCTATAGTAAACCGGCTTAAACCAAGCCTAACTGATTTAATATATTCCTTTACAAAAAACAAAAACGAGACCCTCTCTATATAAAACCACAACTCTTATTATTTGATCATCGTCATCAACGATATGCATATTATTACTTAATAGTTTCAGCCTGTGGATGCCATAAATTTGTTTAAAATCACTCCATTAACCCTTAAATTATCAAATCATTTGGGTGTTTTGAGATTCTAGGGTTATAATCACAGTCGAGATCTAGTTGTTAAATATATAATATCACAATTCCATTATAAACACAAACCCTTTTAACCACTCTACAATGAACAGTAAAGTTCATAAAATCATCCATTGGTCCCTTTGTTTTGCACAAAAAAGTAGAAAACATACACAAGCAGGAAATTCCAGTTACATACAATAAGCTCCATGACTTCTTCTTGACAAAAATAAAAAGCAATGGATTCGATCTCAACCTGAATCATACAGTTGTTGAGACTTCAAACCGCATAGCTTTTGTTAATCCAATGCATCGGAGTAACGTAGGGATCATTAGTGTTGGTTGGTCACTGACTGAACATCAGAGGGAACCAAAAGATCTCCTACGTCCTGCGGAAAAGGCTCAGCCTCTACGTTTCTTGAACTGCTTGTGGCTTTTCGGATCTCTTCTTTACTAAGTTTTTAGTCTATAGAGATCCGAAAACAGTTACCTGCACAAGTGATAAATTGGTTAGGCTTCACAACAAAGAGGCTTGGAGGAGCTTACGGTTCCAATGCATTGCTCCCAGCTAAGCGGGTGTGAGAACTAAATGCATGATAGCATGATGCTCAAAAGCTTTGAAATCAGAGAACAGATTGTGCTTGAAACGGTTTCATGTTGTTGCTTGTATGGTTTAATGTCTCTTAATCAAAAATTAAATGGTAGAAGCTAGTATGGTTAGATATGTGAACGGATGAACCTCTTACCTTTAATACAAATGGTATCCATGCTCAGATATGTATATGAGTTACATGACAGTTACTAATCATCATGTTTAAACTCGCCGCTAAATATCATAGTATGTTATCAAAATAGCAAATGAGCTATTGAATTCACTTATCCAAAATGACAAAACATGTGGTGATTATTTGCAAACCATAAGACAACGACAATAAGTTCAAGTTTCTTCCTCTTAGGTCGATGATAAGCTACATTTAATCAAAACCACCATGGTGGCAACCTGGCATTCTTGATGTCATTGTCTTAAGCTCGTCCTGGTCGATTATTATAAATAGAAGCATCAGTTGTTCATTTTGTTAGAGAGTAAAATCATGCAATCGATGGTTTTTGTTTGTATCCCGAATGTGTGTGTTCATCGAGTAGAGAACTAAGCATAGATACAGTGTGGAGCTGTGTTGACTCAAACCCATCTTCAGCATCAGAGTATAATCTTTGAATGTCATCTGAATGGTGACTACACTTGATGAAGAAAAACATAGCTGGCCTCACATTCAACTCCCTCCATGATATTCCAATGAAGAGAGAAGGGCTATGTGATTGTATATAAAAGATCAATCATGATTCATATCTGGATATTCCTCCTCAGTGAGACAAAGAAAAACAAATCCAAACTTTTCTTGAGTAACCTTCTTGTTTAGAACCTCACCATCTTTCTCAAGCTGATGAGAACCAATTCCTACTGACATTGGCTGCAATGTTTAAAGTTCATCAACCATTCAAAAAGAGTTAGAACTTAGAAACAAAGACAATATTATGTTAACAAATACCTCTGGATGGCCCCCAGAAAAACGTAGTGACCTGGAACTCCCCGACATTATTAAGAAACCTGAACACAAAACTAGACAATGATCACAAAAGTCCTTTTCTCTCTAATGGACTATTGAGTCATTTTGTTCTCTTTCTCTGCCTAGTTTTGTGATTCTTTTGTAAACCTCTTTGGTTGAGTTTCAGATGAAGGAGTAGGAACCACGGCTATAAGGTATGGTGGGAGGGACAATGGCCATGGACCCAAAAATTTAAGGGCCTAATTTTTTTTTTTTTTATATTGAAAACTTTGTTATAATGTGTTCTTTAACACATTGAGAAAAAACAGAATTAATTTATAGTACATAATAAGGTTCACGATCCATTTAATAGGAAAAATAAAACTAATTTATAGTACGTAATAAAGCCCACGATCCATTTAATAAAAAAGGGAATTATGATCTAAAAAAATTTATACCTAAAATTTAAGGGCCTAATTTTTGTTTATATTATAAATTTTGTTAAAAATATATTCTTGAAGACAGTTATAAATATATAATTAATTTTTAGTATATAAAAAGGCTTATACAAAAAGAATTATACATTAACTGTTTCCTTTGTTAACAAGACAACAACCATCTTAATTATTTTAAATTACAAAAAATTTCAAGATCAAATCAATATTTCAACAAAAGTTGAATGGTCTTGTACTTTTATGCATTAAAAAAGACATTTTAAAAACTATAAATTTTGAAACAATTATCAATAATTTTGCATCAATAAAGTTAGGAAAAAAGATATATATGATTTTTTATTTTTCTAAAAAGAATTAATATTTTTTTGTATTTTTTTTATGTTTGATGAATTTATGCAATTTACAGAAATGATGCATTTGAATGAAGTATTATATCAAAAAAATATTATACAAATTAGTTATGTATTTTTTTTTTAATAAACTAGCAACTTATTTTATATTTTAAAAAGTTAAAAAATTATAGTTTGGTTTATTATGATTAATATAATTACTTTTTACTAATATAATATAAAAGGTCCATATTTTATATTTCGTCCAAAGCTTTTGAAATTACTAAGACGGGGCTGGAACCACCTTCTCGATGTTCTATAAAGATACAACTGTGTACGAAGTAGACTACTGTGCTTATGTTGAACTGAGAAGAGAGGTCTCAAGTAAAGATAGGTCTGTTAAAGCTGGGGAGTATGAGGTGGTTTTGAGTCATGGTCAAGCTGGAATCAGGTTTGGTCAAGACCCTGTCATTCATGATCCTGTCATAAGCCGAACACCGGTTTAGTGCAATTCAATTTTTTTTTTTTTGATTTTGTCATTTGGCTCCAAATTCAAGATTAGTCTACCCAGTATCTGATATGAATAGTGACCAGGTGTGTTTTCACCAAGAGGACGATAACACACTTTGTCTTAGTCGTCATTTTGCTACACACATCTTATTCGTTGAACTCTACAAGCCATGTGATTAAACCCTGTATATATAGTCTTACAGTACATCCAGAAATATACACAACACCAGATAAAGAGAAACACACACACATTACTCAATAGTCAGTATTCATACATATACTGACAAAGTAAGTAAACACAGAACAATCCATAACTCCCAAAAGAATAAAATGTTGAAAATTTAAGTGAATCCATACAACCGTTGACGAATGGTTGCAACTGCTTAAATGAACATTTGCAACAATTTAAATAAGTCATTGTAATTGCTGGGATTATGGTTACAACTTTCGGTAACTAACCATTG